GTATGTTAGCAGAGTTTCGAAAATACCAGTGAATCAGTAATATGAGATGTGCTCACTATTTCGTTTAAGATGATGAAGGAATGGTAGTAGAAATTTCCCACAATTATATGTGTTTAGCTGACTTTTCCATTGAATTTCACATTGCCTTGCTTTCCCAAAAGGTGTTATCATCCAGGTTAGACTGCAGTTTCGACCTCGCATAGGTATTATCAACACCTTTTGGGAAAGCAAGGCTATGCGAAATTCAATGGAAACGTCAGCTCTACTCATATCATTGTGTGAAAATTCTAGTACCAGTCTTTCATCACCTTAAACGAAATTGGGTGAATATATATCATATTAGACCAATCTATCTGGTGTCCTGTGCGAGCTCTGTATTCGGCCAATTCCAAATTTTAACCTGCAGACCTTGTCAGGCCTACAAGTCTCTTCCACATAGGCGCTACTGCATGAACACAAAATCTTGTGACACCCGAGAAAAGTGTTATTTACTCTTTTTAAATAGTCCTGATATCCTAACTCCTAATTATCGCCTTGCTTCTTTGATAGATTACACGATGGCAGATTAAGGACTTTGGCAAGATGGCCTAACCTTTTATCCAACCCCAAATATGTATTTCCTTCCATTCTATTTAGCAATATTCTATAATGGTCGTCAACCGGTACAAGTGGATAATTATTCTCAACCAGAATTCTCATTAGACTTCTCACTTTCTGGTCGTGATGCTAAACATCTGCCAGAATCAGACTCCGTATTGACACCACGCTTATTGCTAGAACAATGCTTTCACATAACACACGTGCAATGGAACGAGATGACATGCGGTAACATTGCAGGATCAAATGTTTAATTTTTTTACGTGAGGACCAAAAATGGACTATAAGAAGTAGGTAAATGTGGAGCCGAGAATCTTTCTTGCTTTCGTGTTTTAGTGAATTTTTCGTCAAACTTTCTGTGACATTGTGCTGTGAGGTACGAAAGCTCAGCAAGGATTCATCGGGGTCGTAGGATAATGCGTCAATGATCTATTCGCAAAAATATATAGCCACAGCTCCAAGGTAATCCTCCTACAGCTTCCGGTGAAATCGACTTACCAATCCCTTCCATTCGCATCTTGAAACGAAATGTAAGGTACTTAAACATCAATATATTAGGGGATTCTTCGAAACCCACGTTTTATTCGTACCTAAGAATATTTATATATCTTTGAAAATAGCATTCTGGCAACATCATGGAAAAATTTTCTCTAAATAACATCACAAAATTTTAAAACCGTGATTTATCTCAAAATTTAACCTCTATTTGAACCAACCTCGCCTAGACCCACTTTACCTGAGAGTGGCTGTTTTGCTGTAACCGATTTGGGCAAGTTATCCTCCGTTCAGTTTCATCCTGCCTGTGGCGCAAACGATGGCAACCTCAGCACAGACATCGGAGGCCATAAGTACGCCACAAATAATCATTCCGACAACGGCAGCAATTATAGGAGCACCAGAGACGTCGTTAACGATTCTACAAACACCGTGGTACCTAACAATGAATCCAGTCTTCCTATCCTACTCTCCGGCACTTCCTCGCCTCTACACGCACCCCCAGCTGCACTCGTCTGCCTTTCAGACTCGTTGCCGTCAAAAAGACTAGAGGAGACGGCCTGCCGGCAAAATTACTTGTTACCGTTGGCCGAATCGCGTCATTTAGCCGGCGCAAGGCAAAATCTCCACATATCGCGGAATGTGTTCACCTCGGGTCAACTACATTTGCCAAGTCTCACATAGTAATAATTCACAATTCGATGCCTACATGGAAAGAGCAAAATTCGTTGGGGAGCTGGACAGATTTGAAAAAAAAGGTATAGATGTATAAGAATATGTAAAAAAAAAAGATAAAAGACATTAAAAGAAGGCGAGATGGTTATATACAAAATAAATTTTTGTGGAAAAGGATAGAGATAGAAAAAAGGTATAAGATTATATTAAAAATAAGTAAAATAAAGATGGAGAAAATAAAATTTAAGAATAAGTGGGCAAAAGGTAAAAAGATAAAATAGCAGAAATATATGAAGAAATAAGGGAGATAATATGAGATAAAATGAAATAAAACGGGATGAAATGAGAAAAATGCTATTAGGAGAAATTAAAAGAGATAAAAATAGATGATAAGAAAAAAGATTAAAAAAATGAAATGAAAAGAGATAAAGAAAAAAAGATGAGGTCAGATAAAATCAGATGAAATCAGATTACCTGAAAATAAATTAGAGGAAATAATATGAGATGAGATGAGATGAGATGAGATGAGATGAGATGAGATGAGATGAGATGAGATGAGAT